TCAGAAAGTATGTAGCTGTCTTCCTTATCTTACCAATGTTCATCAGGACTTTGTGACATTACCTTGGGCCTGTGGGGAACTGGGGTGGGAACAGCGGCAGGGGAGTACATTATAACCCTCAGAGGAAATATATGTTCCTTCTTTCCCAGCATTTTACATGTCTTCTTCCTGTCTCTCTGCTCTGCCTTAGCACTTCCAGGCAAAGACACATGGGTTTAACCTGCTACAAGGGAGACCCAGCTCATATTTGCCCGTCTCTGTGCCATTGTTTCTGCCCTTCCAGCTGCCTCATTAAAAACCATACATATTTTATATTGGAGGAGGCACAATTAACTTGCTTTTCCCAAACCGGCCCTTAGCCTGATGAAATGCCAAAGAAAGAAAAATACTTCCTGGATGATCACAGACAATAAGCAAAAAAAAGAGAAAGAGAGAGACATACCAAGAAAGTGATGGTTTCCAGTAATTGTGCAAGTAAAAATGGGCCCCCAGGCAAAATGGGAATGTTCCCCTCTTTTGTTGTAGGTTTCTATGCTAGAAAAAAAGAATTCTCTTTAGCAGACAAAATGGTTTGGTCTACGAAGGAGACTTTTTGGAGAATGTGGTAAAGTAGGAAAGGAAGAATAAAAATTTAATGCTAAAACTAAAAAGTAGCTGGCACACTGCTCTTTTCTTACTCTCCCTCACTCTATCAAAGTCCGACACCTCAGGCTACTTATGGGAACGGTTTCTAAATCAGGTTGGAAAGCTCACCACAGGAGCCTCTCACTTGCAGATATAGCTGTATGGGCCTCTTTATAATGATGGACTCCAAACCAACATGAAAGATACTTTGGCTGTGTTATATCATTTAAAGGTGCAAAAAAGCGAGAAAACTTTCCATGGATGCCCGCTCAATTACCACTAGGCAAGACCAGAACCTTCCAATCACTGGGAAGGTCAACTGGTGTGGTCACAAAAATCTGAGAGCTTTAAAACTCCCAGGGACAAGAATAGACACTTTTTTTTTTTTTAAGAAAAATCCTCTTAAAAACACCCTTGAACCATTTTAGTTACTGATGGACTTTGACAGGACAGAGCATATTGGCCTTGGCCATACAATATGACAAAAGTTGGTTCAGAAGGGTACCATCTGCCCTACCGTATTCCTTTCCAGGCAGGTGCTTCCTGTAGAGCCAAGTGCTTATGGTCAACATACAACTTTGTTAGTGTTCTCTTGCCTTACCAGAGATGTGCATCATGTAACAGTAGACTATACTCACAAATACTACAAATCTAGGTCAAGTACAAGCCTCAGAAATTTGCACTAGATTTTTGAAGGACTGGCTAGGTGTGCTATTTTATGACCTCTTGGAATTTCATGCTGCTTCCATATATAACAACACTATTTCACAGCTATCTCACATTTTACTAATAAACTTCACTTATCTTTACTTAATACTTACAAGAGCCCTAAACAAAAAAATTGCATTATTGTATAAGAGGACTCAGCAAACTTAAGAGGCAGTCACACAGGCAGAGAACAGCAGAGCCAGGAACTGAACAGCTCACACCTTCTAATGATAACTTTGGTACTGTCAGCATTATATCCTTACCACTGCTACCTCTAGCTTTCCTGCTTCTGTGAGGTGGGCTTACAGGAAACCCTGGGCTCACCCATGCCCTCACAAATGCTAGTACTTGCTCTGGATCTTTCAGGGTGGGAACACTCTATTTTATCAGAAATGGTCTTCCTTTGTCCCTTCCCTCCTTCCCTTTCTTCCTCCCTCCTTTTCTCCCTCCCTTCTTCCCTCCACTTTTTCTTCCCTCCCTCCCTCCCACTCTCTTGTCTATTCATGCAACTATATAACACATCTGTGTTGAGTATCTGAGTACTTACAATAGACAATGTACATAAACACTAAGTGTTTGGAAAATGAAAATCATGGGATGCATCTTATCCACTTTTAAGGACCAGTTCGAGCCCAAGTGTGGACTTGAAGACTTTTCTACCTGCCTGTTCTTAAAACCCTTTTGCTCTTGTAAATGAAGTGTGCAGTTGTAACTGGAAATACTTTGATCTCCTGCAAAGCCTGTATTGATTGATTTCTCTTTATACCATGTGTTCATATTAGCTTCACAGTGAGGTTGGAAGACTTTTTTTTTTTATTAACATGCACCCATATGCTATTCATTTTATCTCTCATAGTCCTGGACATATTATATTGTACAGTATATAATATGTACTAAGTTCTCAGTGCTTGATTTATCGGTACTGTGACTCTATTGTAATATAGCAGGTAGATGGGCCATTTTACACCTAAATTCATCTATTTATTATTATTATTATTATTAATAATGCTCAGCTTCTTTTTCTATATTTTTTAAGGTAAGCCTTTTATGTAACCTGATAAAACATCTGAATCTTGGACCTTCCCTGGGCAACTAATGAAAATTCAAAGTAATTTTTCTGAAAACAATTTAATTTAATTATCCTACTTTATATATCCCATTCCATTTTTCTTTTTCCCCAGGAAGAATATACTATTTCTCTTAGTCTCCTCAAAAAGGGTTGGGAAGAAAGTTTAGTAAATCAGAAAGGGCTCCAGTATGATAAGTTTAAGAGTTTTTCACTACTTCTGAGACACAGCTCCTAGAGATATTATGATTATTATTACTGAATATATTATATATTATATAATTATTAATAATAATAATACAATTTAAGAGACCACCGCCTCTTTTAGAATTTGTATCCAACAGTCCCCTCGGGGTTAGAGATGATATCAATATTCTCATTTTCCAGCAGGCTTAAATGATATATTTATATTTTTGCCCATTTATATGCCCATATATATGCCCATATGTTTTGCAAAGAGCAGACAATAATTTAACATAGGTTTCCTAATATCACATTCAACACCCTTTCTCCTGTGTATATTGTCCTCTTTTAAAAATGAACCTATTTATGGTATGTAAAGGATAATATCACTGAGACCAATGTTTTCCACATGTTTTTCCATGGGATATTATAAAAGGTGATAGAAAAAAAGAGGGATTCAGTAAGTCTGGGAAATGGTAGGTTTAACAACTGTTAAGCTTCAATGTTTCTCAGAGCATCTACACTGCTGTTAGGGCCCACGATTTTACAGGAGCACGCAGCATCTCCCAGACTCATTGACACAGCATGTATGTGTTCAGTGTTTCTCAAACTTATGGGAGAAGTGGTTCATTACAGTGGTCGACAACAACTGAGTTGTGTCCCATACATACTGAGTATGTGTCCCACATACCTGGGGCAATACTGATCTCTACCAATGCCTTGTTTCTCCCAATTAAAGTATTTCACTATCATGTCTTCAAATGAAAGGAAATGATGCTATCATTGAATATGGATCTTACTTCAATAAGATCACAAAAGAAAATGCAAATATGTTTTACTACACCCCACTGGCATTTGAAATTGCATTTGGTACCTGACTTATTAATTTCTTTTTACTACATTTTAACCTGTATAGAGAAGAATGTGATTTCTACCATTTAAACCCTATCGTAAAATGATCTTTATGTCTTTTTAACTGAAAATACTCTCTTCGGATTTATGACTTGAATCTGGCAGAGAAAAACTATGTAATTTGTACAATTTGTTACCACAGTAGTAATAAGAATAAGAGTCACAGCAGCCCTTAGGATCTTAAACAAATCTGAAGCTAGTCCTTGCTAGTGTTAGGCTTCACTTGGGGGAAAAACGATTTGGTATTATATATGTGTGTGAAAGACAGTATTTGAGTTTCTATACCCTATAGGAAGTACACATCAGGGATGTGCTTTTATATGTTAAAAAGTGTTAATAAAAGACTAAAATCTATCTTTTTAACTATTTCCTTCTGTATTCTCATACCTTTTAACTAGAAACCTTTGGGAAGAAAGATTTTACCAACAATGATCCTGAGGCCTCACCTTTTTTCTCTAAAGACCACATCCTCATCTGCCCCTCATGATAGGATCAGAATGGAGTTGGTTCAATTAATCCAGATATATCCACGCAGGATACTGACTATCAAAACTGAATCCACTGTGTGTTTTCTTCTGCATCAGAGCTCTGCAGGTTCTTGTGACAAAATGGCCAAACATTAAACAAAGATACCAAATAAAACAGAAAAAGAAAAATTAAAATTCTTGCACTAAGCTATCTCAGGTGCTAGACCATTATGTATATATTTATGGAATTGGGGAACATAGCAAAAAAAATGCAGAAAAGCTTTCAAGGGATAAGACAAGTAGACAAAGCAGCATTTATTAGTATATAATAACATAAATGCAAGTTTCTTATAGGTTCTTTCCCCCAATTATTATGGAACACCTGCCAATAGCCATATACACAAAAAAATCTCCAGCAGAAAATGATTAAAAGTAATTAGAACAGGTGTTTATGGGGCTGGGAAATTAGAAGGGAGAATTTAGATTTTTCATTGAAGAGAAGCCCCCGAAACGTCCTTGCATCCTGTGAAAACTTGAAAGTGGAAGAAATGTCCTATTACTATGCAAGTCCAGAGAAACAAATTCCTGTTGCATTCAGGGAGAAAGTAAGGGATATCAAATCACACCACACCAGTATCATTCCAAAGGGTAAAAGAGCTAAACCACAGAATAAGGAATTAGTGTTAATTAGCCTCCATTAGCCCTATAGCCTTGTAAGTCAACATGGAGGTTAAAGATAGAATTCATACATCTTATTCAGATTTGCTCTTCCTGCATCATATAGCATAATTACCAATTTTCCAAGGTATGAGAATGTTTAACATTGACCCGTCTTGTTGTGGGGCATCTCTTATATACAAAGTGTTTTTAGAAACTGGTGCCTATATATAATAAGTTAGCTTACAGTAATCTTTTTTTTTTTTTTTTTAAGATTTTATTTATTTATTTGACAGAGAGAGATCACAAGTAGGAAGACAGGCAGGCAGAGAGCGCGGAGGAAGCAGCTTCCCTGACAAGCAGAGAGCCCTATGCGGGGCTAGGATCCAGGACCCTGGGATCATGACCTGAGCTGAAGGCAGAGCCTTTAACCCACTGAGCCACCCAGGCGCCCCTTACAGTAATCTTTTTACTTAGAAAATTTGTCCAAGTAAACATAAAGGGAGACTTCATCCTGACCTCTTCTGACATTTATTCATTTCTTATATCATGGTTTATAGTCTCCCTTCTCTCCCATTCAAATAAGAGCTCCTTGTCAGTAGGATCCATCTCTGATTTTCATTTCAGGTTTCTTAAGCTCTACTACTTGCTTTACCCCAAGAAGTATTCAGTACATGGTCAGTGACTTAATGGATGAATATATAAATTTAAAAATAAATAAAGTGAAGACAGAGCTAGTGGCTCAGACATTTACTCTGAACATATTTTCCAACTAATTATAAAACTGATAGACTCTAATTTAATCCAGACTTATGGTAGATAAAAATTTTATTCCACTGAAATTTGTTTTATTTTATCATAAATGATCTATAGAAGCAATTGAAAGCACAATGCTTTTTAAAATTTTCAACACAAATTTCCTTTTTCTCTATTACTTAGAATATACGCAATATTTTAAAGCTCCATATACGTTCTAATTTCTTCTCATTATATTTCCATGGTACACATCTGTTTTTAATTCCGAGCAGGAATTAGAGGTTTTGGCAAATAGCATTCTTCTCTCTAGACATGGAATGTTTTAAATGCACTTTCCTAGATAGTAGTTATTTTCTAAACAAATAACATTGAGTAACATCACAATTTAATAATACTCTCTATGCTGTGTGCCGTTAGCTGCTTCAGATGTTGTTTCCCTCCCTAGGCTTTCACTGATTTTCTGCTTAAAATTTAGTAAAGCTGCAAAATTCTATGAATAGCAGAATATTCTATGAGCTTGTTCTGTTATATTAGAAACAAGTGGAGACTGTGAGTTCCTTGCCTGTCAATTACAGACAAGTTTTGCCTGGTCCCAATGGTTGATGTTATTTTTAAATGATTTTAGTATTATTTAGTACTCAAAGCAATAAAAGCACTTGCAAACAATAATGTCAAACACCAGTCATTTTTAGACAACTTCCACCCCCTATGCACACTCAAATAGTTGTTCCTAGCAAAGCAAGACTGTGAAAGAACAGAATTAGAGGTTGGTGCTGGATCCTTTAAGCTGGGGAAAAATCCATGCTCTAATTAAATTACTGCATTGATGAATATTTCATATACATCAAGACACACTATAGAATATCAAAAACATGAAATGTAATTTCTCACTTTAGGGGAAAAAATGATTTCTTTATCTTGTGGATTTGTACTTTTTTCTTTAGTATGTCATCCAAGGGTTTAATTATAGTATATGTTTGATGAAGAGTACAAATTTCATTAGAAAAAGTCCCAGGTGAGCTAGCAAATATGTTATTAGATGTGCTTTGACTAAGAAAGCAAGGAAGGAGATTTAGAATGACTATAATCATTCAAATAATTCTTATAACAAGAAAGGCTAATTTTGAGTAATATTTCCTGTTGTTTTAAGAATGCCTAAGAGAAAGTGATGGTAAAGATTACTTACCAATGCAGTAAGTTCAAGTTCTAGGCCCTAAGGCAGCTCTATAATTTTTAAATACAAAAACATACTTATAAGAACATCCATCTTCGAGTCTCCTGCAAAGTAGGCACTGCTTGGGTGGTTCACTTTAATCTGAGAGTTCTATCACTGAAACCCCGAGTTAAATGTTCCCAAGTATAAGAGGTGCGACCCATAATTCTATAATGTGCAGTACAACACACACATCATAGTGGCTCAGAGTCAATCAGAAGTAACAGGAACTCCACTTAGAGCACTTATTTTAGCAAAAGGCCAATCCTCACCTTTCATTTATATGTCTTTGTTAAAGGCTTTTTCAGCCCAAGGGTCTTTTCTTCTCTCTCTTACCAATTTCCTTTGAGTTTTGGCCTTCCGTTTCAGCTGAGTTATTTTGATGATAATGTTTCCTTTAAGATGATTATTTGTTTAAAGTTCAAGCTAATAAAAGTAACTTAACCCACTAAAATATTCTGGGGAGCAGAACAACATTTTAGGATGTTAATTGCTCATGTTAGCAGTCATCCATGAAACATATGTCGAAAATGCTCTTAAAGGTTCCAAAATGTCTCCTGTAGCTATAAATCTTTTACAGGTACAATTATGTGGAAACAGAAATAAGAAAAAGTGCATCCAACATCTGGAGTCAGATGGTTTACTGAAGTAAAATTACAAAATTAAATTTAAATGAACTTAATTAAAAAGAGGAAGGGGATCCAATTTAATATGGACATTCATCATGTCCTCATTGAAGTTTCTTCTAGCACCAGAAAAATACAATAGTCTGAATACAAAAGTTGGATAAAGCTTCTAACGGAGTGTGAAAAGATGACCAAAGAGACACAGTCAGGCAGAATATATTCTCTTTTTCTCCCTGCTATGTTAATGACATGGAATACCCAATTGTTTTGAAAAGACAATATCAATCAAGAAACTGAGCTTGGAAACTTATCTGTTTCAACCATCTCTTCTGTTTAGAGTTTCACTATACAAACTTCATCACTTAAGGATGGCAAATACTAGGTTCGGGTTTTCTTTTTTTTTTTTTAAGATTTTATTTATTTATTTGACAGGCAGAGATCACAAGCAGGCAGAGAGGCAGGCACAGAGAGAGGGGAGGCAGGTTCCCCGCTGAGCAGAGAGTCCTATGAGGCGCTCAATCCCAGGACCCTGGGATCATCACCTGAGCCGAAGGCAGAGGCTTTAACCCACTGAGCCACCTAGGTGCCCCTAGGTTCGTTTTTTAATTCAATGAAGCATGATTGAAGACTAATAATATGCAGCGAAAACAAACAAAAAATACCAAACAGGAAAATGTTCATTTCAAATCACCTGCCCCTTTAGTTCTCGTTCTCTAAAACAATAATATTAACAAAACAGATGAGCATGGGGAAGGGAAAGGGGGAAAAAAAGAGAGAGGGGAGTCAAACCATAAGAGACTATTAACTATAAAGAATAAACAGAGGGTTGATGGAAGGAGTTGGGGGGGGATGCGCGAAATGGGGGGTGGGCATTAAGGAGGGGACTTGTGATGAGTACTGGGTGTTGTATGTAAGTGACGAATCACTAAATTCTACACCGGAACCAGTTTTACCATATATGTTAACTAACTGAATTTAAATAAAAGCTTGAAATTTAAAAAATATTATCATCATCATCATCAAAATGTTGATCCCCTTTAATACTGTAGTACTGAGTTCTTATTGCTCACTAATCGGTTTCTGTCTTCCTAGTTCTTAAACACCCTTCTTAGTTCTATGCTATCTTATATGCATTAGTTCTTCTTAGTTCTCTGCTATCTTATATGCATATAGGAGACAGATTAAGAAATAAAATTATCCATAAAAATTACGTATATATAGTTATACAAAAAGAATAACATTTTATTTTATTAAACTGACAGATTCTAGAAAAGACAGCCAATGTTATTTGGCAGGTTTTTGCCCCTTGGTGGTTCTACATATGACGGACATTGCTAGAAGTTTGGTTTATGAAAACTTTACACGATCAGCTAATACTCAGATTCCGGTTATGTCATCTTTCCTTTCTTTTCCATAAATACTTAGTTGTTTTCATACTTATCATTCGCATATTTCCTTCAGATCCTCCTTATCTAAACGAGAGACTCCTAACACCTCCCCTTCCCATCTAACGCGGCACACACTCACTGGGCAAGTGGAAAGCAGATAAAAGGAGTCAACAATGGAGGAGGCCACAGACAGTTTATAACAGTGTGCTGAACACTTTCAAATACAGTAGAGAAGTTCACACAGCAACCCTGGGTTGAGAGAACAGAGAATAATAACACTCAGGTAACTCCCTCAACATTGGAAAGCTGGTAAGTAACAAAGCCAGAATTCAAGTATCAGCTCTTTGGATGCCAAATCCCATGCTCTTAACTCTATCACATTGCCTCAGATACTGCAGCTGCTGGGAACCATATTAAGGAAGACTGAGGAGTATAACAAGAAGATTGAATCTTATCTTGCAGTGGGGATAGAGAAATAACCAGTGGTACAGGTGTGAATGAATAATGAATAATTTTAACTGTTAAGAAAAGTTCATTCATCTAAATCATGTGTTCTTCACTGTCTCCCAGCATTTGCTTCCCCTAAAAAGTATAAAAATATTACATTTTAGGATTTTTGCAGTATCTCTACATTGTAGGAAAAGAAAAGAAAAAATAATTTTATAATTCGCAATAACCCCACTGATACTAATGGTCTGTGTCAGTAACTGTGACCCCATTCTACTTGTAATCCCTATGTATACTTTTAATTTTTGTATATATAGTATATATATTTTTTGTTTTTTTTCAGAGAACTGAATGCCTGCTCCTAAAGCCACAAACAGAAAATGGCTTAATTTTCAGAGCTATTGGGCCTAAAGCATTAGATTTAACTATAAATTGCATTTTAGTCCCATTGAGTGACCGGCTAGCTATAGTGCCTCCAAAAATGTTATGACTTCCCTTCCCCCAAAATGTTGATTTTAGAAGTGTCTTAGATGGTAAGAGGAAAAGTTGAGAGTCATTTATGATTCTGCTAAAGTTCTGCAAAGACAGAAAGTCAGGACAAAGGAAAAGGTCACTAGAACTTGCAAAACACATACCTTCACTCAGTTCAGAGCACGTGACATTGAAGATGAGCAAAACTGTGGGGTAACCAGTATTTTAGAGAATGCACAGAATGAGAAAATGTAGTACTTCTAAAGAAAAGGGGAGAACACAGTCACGTTGACAGTTACTCATTCACTCACTGTATCAAGAAATGGAACAGGCCAGGAGATAAAAATGGGGAGGGGTTAAGTAGGTTGGTGGGGGAAAAAAATCACAAAAGGAGGTCATTAAAGTTCAACAATGAATTCCAAAGTTAAATTTATATGTGATGTGCCAAACAGTGAATGCAGTGTTCTGCTGGTAAAGGAATTTAAGGCGGTTC